CTGCCAATCAGCTTGCCCTCTGCAAACCCGTCCGTAGCCGCGGTGAGGTCCGACAAGGCTATCTCGACGGGCCGGGCAACCGCCTCTTCCGCCGCAGCCTGCTCGGCGGCGACAGACAGAGTTTCCAGCTTCGACTCCGCCGCGCTCACCTCCTCGGCCAAGGCAGGCAGCGCGCCCACGTGCGGCCTGGCGGCAGCGATGCCCGCTCGGAGCGCGGAGGGGCTGTCTGCGGTGTCGAGCGACTTGAGCGCGCCCATCGCCGCGCCATGCGCCTTGCGCAGCCGCTGGCTCTCCCTCTTTCGCGCCTCCTTGAGCTTGTCGCGCGCGCGCTTCGCCGCCGCCAGCACGGCCGGGCTCGCGAGGCCGCTGCACGCCTCCAGCGCACTGGCTAATCTCTCGTACGAGCCAGCGGCCACAGCCTGCTGCAGCGCCTCGTCCGCCGCAGCGATGGCGGCTGCGTTGGCGGGCGGAGGAGATGGGGCTGACGGTGGGGCTGGCGGCTGCAAAGCGGCGGTGGCGCTAGGGCCAGGCGCCGCGTTGTCTGCCTTACCGCCGCCGCTCTTCTTCTTCTTCTTCTTGCCCTTCTTGCTCTCCTTGGCGCGCTCCTCCTTCTCCGCCTCCTCCTCCGCCAGCAGCGCCTCGGCATGCCGCGCCGCCTCCGCCTCTGCCGCCGCTCTCTCCGCCTCCCTCGCCGCCGCCGTCTCCGCCGCCGCCGCCGCCGCATGCTCCTCGATGGCGCGCACGCACTCGGCGCAGCCCTTCTCCTTGGCAGCATGCAGCGCCGTCTTGCCGTTCTCAGCGCGCGCCGTCGTATCCGCGCCCGCCCGCAGCAGGTGGAGCACGATGGCGGGGTGGTTCAAGAGGGCGGCGAACATCAGCGCGGTGCCGCCGTTGCTGTTCTGCAGGTTGATCTCAGCGCCGCGCCGTATCAGCAACTCGACCATCCGCTCGTGGCCTTGGTCGGCGGCGTTCATCAGCGCGGTGTCGCCGTGGCTGCCCCGCAGGTTGACCTCAGCGCCGCGCCGTATCAGCAAGTCGACCACCCGCTCGTGGCCTTGGTCGGCGGCGTACATCAGCGCGGTGAAACCACTGCTGCTCTGCAGGTTGATCTCCGCGCCGCGCTGCAGCAGCAGCTCGACCACCCGCTCGTGGCCGTAGTTGGCGGCGGTCATCAGCAGCGTGATGCCACTCACGCCGTCTCTCTCGTACGTCGCGTCGGCCCACCCGCCGCCCTCGAGCCACGCCAGCACCGCCGCCTCCTCGCCTCGCTCCGCTGCTGTCACAACCGCGTCGGGGGCTGCCGCGGCACCGCCTGACACCGGCTCCGCAGCCGCCAGCGACAGATTGCCCGGCCGCACCCGCACGCTCTCGCCGCCGCCCTCGAGCGCCACCGCGTACCGGCCGCCCTCGAAGCTCTGAGCCACGCCCCGCTGCCCGTTCAGCTCGGGGCGGGAGGAGAGCCCGCCGAGCACGACGCGCTGGCCGAGCAGCGGCGCGTCCTCAGCTGCCGCTGCCGCGCCCGAGGAAGCGCGGTCGGCCCCTACTCGGCCCTCCGCAGCCGCCGCCGCTGCCTCAGTCAAGATCTTGACGCACTCGGCGTTGCCCTTCTCCTTGGCCGTCTGCAGCGCCGTCTTGCCGGTCACACTGCGCGCCGCGGTGTCTGCGCCCGCCCGCAGCAAGCGCCGCACGACGGCGGGGTGGTTGAAGGCGGCGGCGCCGATCAGCGCGGTGCCGCCGTCGCTGTCCTGCAGGTTGACCTCCGCCCCGTGCCGCAGCAGCAGCTCGACCACCCGCTCGTGGCCGTAGAAGGCAGCGTTCATCAGCGCGGTGCCGCCGTCGCTGTTCTGCAGGTTGAGCTCCGCGCCGTGCTGCAGCAGCAGCTCGACCACCCGCTCGTGGCCGTAGTTGGCGGCTCCGATCAGCAGTGTGAGGCCGCTCACGCCGTCTCTCTCGTACGTCGCGTCGGCCCGCCCGCCGCCGTCGAGCCACGCCAGCACCGCCGCCTCATCGCCTCGCTCAGCTGCTATCACGACCGCGTCGGGGGCTGCCGCGGCACCGCCTGACACCGGCTCCGCAGCCGCCAGCGACAGATTGCCCGGCCGCACTCGCACGCTCTCGCCGCCGCCCTCGAGCGCCACCGCGTACCGGCCGCCCTCGAAGCTCTGAGCCACGCCCCGCTGCCCGTTCAGCTCGGGGCGGGAGGAGAGCCCGCCGAGCACGACGCGCTGGCCGAGCAGCGGCGCGTCCTCAGCTGCCGCTGCCGCGCCCGAGGAAGCGCGGTCGGCCCCTACTCGGCCCTCCGCAGCCGCCGCCGCTGCCTCAGTCAAGATCTTGACGCACTCGGCGTTGCCCTTCTCCTTGGCCGTCTGCAGCGCCGTCATGCCGGTCACACTGCGCGCCGC